GGCCACACATGGGCCATACAGTGGCATAGCATATTTTCAGGCACACCCATAGAACGGGATAATAGTGGGATATATGAATTATATGATATATAGAGATAGAGGTAGCAACCGCAAGAAACAGAGAGAAATACATCATCACTACTTCAGGTGGATCTCATTTTTTCTATATTTTGTAGGGTTACACCGGGTTACACGTATGTATGTCATATATATATATACATATATATATATATATATACATATATATATACATACATGTACACATGCATACATGTACTTTACACAAATATCAATATTTTTAAAATTGTTATATTTTTGTTGAGTTTATTATATTATACTATATCTTGTTTTTGATGTTTTATTACAATATATATATTATATATATTAGGGAGTTTTATTAAGTTATATTTTGGTACCTTTTTAATATTGATTTTTATCCTTTTATATTTCATTATATTTTACTATATTGTTTACATTTTCTTTATGTCTAATTGTTGTATATTATTTCATCTTATTGTATTTCAAACCATCATACCCTAGTGTTATTTTGTTATATTTTGTATTCTATATCGAAACATTTCATTATTTGATTATATAAGAATATAATATGTATATATATTATTTCAAAAAATACATTACATAGTTTTTTAACCTACAATATATTTCACATGTTGGCAACTTTTTGCAGCAACGCATCCAAAGTTTTGGGGAATCCCCCGCTAAAGTGAAGAATTGAAAGCAAGACCTTGGAAGCAGAAAGACTCGGTTTTGGTGGGGGACTGTTGGTTTTTTGGTTTGCAGCCTTTGAATTTTTGATAATTTTTGTTTAGAAGTCACCAGAAAAGGGTGTGCACCGATCAGCCACAAGCCAACCGCACCTGCGTGTTGCCAACGGAAGCTTACTGTGTGACTGGTTGGCTTATACTTTTTTGATTTTTCATCGAGCGCCAAACAGATACAAATGGATGATCATCCTCACTTTCACATGTTTGGGGTAGTTTTTCACCACATCCCCTCAAATTTCCCAAGATAGAATGCTAGGACATAAGTCCCTCACGCAAAAAAAAAGATGAATAAATCAAGGGGGCTGTGGTGACTGGGGAAGTGTAGATGGCTTGTAGCTGGGCGGTAACTACTTGTAGTTGTGTAGTTGGTAATGTGGTAAACAACATAATGGTCCAACAAATGCTAACAAATCCTTTCTTTTTTAATTTGTGGTTTCTTGCTAGGTTCCAGCCACACCATTGGATTATAATTATATCATATGCCAATTATATGTGCTAACCCCCAACAGTGATCAACCAGCCCCAAGGACTTTGCGGAATGAAATGGCTATCCAGCAATAACTTGGAACCAGCCATGGCACCCAGGGTCGACTCCCTTGCAAGCCAGCTGAGGCCGACTCCGCAACTTGCGCAAAGCTGCCAAGTTCCGGTCCAATCGATGTGTGCGGCCAAAGTGTGGGAAACTCGGAAACTGCTCACAGTCATCAAAACCCTATGATGTTAGATGATTTTCCCATATAGGCTTTTAGGGAGATGAACATCATGAACATCCAAAAACCACTGCTATTTTGGTGTTCACCTCTGGTACAGAGTTTGACCCATCGGCAGTCAAGGCACAATTTGAAGAGTCCTGCTAATCATCGAGTTATTCTTGGGAGAACTTGAAGAGATCCAGGGGGTTTGCATGGAACGTTCATGTTTTTTTCTCCAACACCTTTGCGCCACACGAGCGACGACAGGGTTCAAAGACGATTGTTTCTGGACTATGGTACGCGAAAGCCATGCACTCAATCCGCAGCAGTAAGAAGGTTAAAACCGAAAAACAAAAACAATGGGCAGCAGCTTTGCGTACACCAAATGCGTTCCCTTCAAAATGCAAGCACGCCGAGAGCAGGATGGCAAGCACAGCATTGGGACTGGCAAACCTAAGCGCACAGTGTGTTGAATTGATTTTGCCAAAGCCAAAGCAAGATAACTGGTACGATTTGACAGGAAGCAAGTTACAACCGTTCTCACTGAGAAAAGAAGTGACACATCTTGCCAACCTCTGTGCGCGGATTTCCGGGAGGGATGGCCGGCCGTAGGGATACACCCGAACCGTTCCCCGTGAAATCAGCAGAAAATGTGTTTGGATTGACCATCCAGTTTTTCGGGGATAGCCAGGCTGTGCTTATGTTTGATTTACACCCATTCAGCTGGGTATCTTCCAACAATCTGGGATTCTATACAGCCATAGAATATCCCCCAAATAGTCGTTTCAAAAAGTGGACACCGGTGGAAATGCGGGTCCAGAGACTCAGCTCAAGATGAAAGTTACATGATGAAACTGTAATGATGTCATCGTGGCAGTCAAGTTTACCAGCATCATATGCGCCATGTACGATACGTGTGGTATATTTACCTACACGGACCCCTCGAAAATGGCCCAACTGATGTAAATATACATGAATATATACATGACATACTGCAGCTGGGGCATATTTCACCGCAGCTCGAGCCTGTTTCAGGTCGTACTATCCAGTTCAAAGTCCCTGCTGTCGGTGCCCAACGCCCTGAACAGTGCCAGTTGCTTCCGAGCGCATGACGTGCAAAAAGCCCGTTGAAACCAACGAAATTTCCGTTGCATCACAAGTAGAGTAAGGATATACGCACCTTCGAGCAGCACGTTTTCTTATTGTGGTGTTCCTTAATTAACTCTGACGAATCCCTGGTCTCGATCATATTCTTTTCGCCGAATTGTCCAATTCGTGGACGACCAGCATTCTTGGTTCACATGCATGAACAAAACACAGTGAGAAATCGATGTTTTTCCCAGATTGACATACAATATTCAAACACATATTCAAAAAGCTGGGTAGCCCAGAATTTACTGAATTCGTCACTCGAACAATCAAAACAAATGTGCAGCTTGTCATTTGATACCTGGCTTGAGCCACGTAGCTTCGATGAGACGAAAAGACATGGAACTTCAGGCCAGAGTACCAATGACGACAAGTAAAAAATGCATTGATAGTGGTAGAAACCACATGCTTTGGGTTAAGTGAGGGTCTAATTATATTTTATATACACACATATAGAACAATGGGATGGTGCCTCGGTTGTGCACGCGAAAACCGACTCGGTTGTGCATGCGAAAAACAAATCAGTTGTGCACGCGGCTGATGATGATGATGATGATGATGATAATGATGATGACGATGACGAAGATGATGGTGGTGATGATGATGATTGTTTTTATTTTGATGATGATGTTGATGCCGGTGATGATGGTGGTGTTGATGCCGATGGTGATGATGATGATGGTGATGATGATGATGATGACGATGATGAAGATGACGACGATGACGACGACGATGACAATGACGATGATGATGGTGATGAAGAAGAAAATGATGATGATGATGATGGTGATGATGATGATGACGACGATGATGATGAGGAGGAGGAGGACGACGATGATGATGATGATGGTGATGATAGTGGTGATGATATTGATGATGATGATGATGGTGATGATGATGATGACGACGATGATGATGAGGAGGACGATGACGACGACGACGATGATGATGATGATGGTGATGATGATGATGGTGATGATATTGATGATGATGATGATGGTGATGATGATGATGATAATGATGATGATGATGATGATGATGATGATGATGATGACGATGACGATGACGATGGCGATGATGGTGGTGATGACGATGATGCGTTTGACGAAGATGAAGATGAGGATGAAGATGAACAATGATAATGATGACGAGGAGAACAACAATGATGGAGAAAGTTTGCTTCATGATGACAATGATGTTTCGCTTTCGATGTAAATTTCTGCTCTCCTCCGGAAAGTTGAAGTGTGATGGTAAGTCGAAGGAAGTGAAGGAAGTTGAGTAGCGGTTGTGTCCCTATGATGAAAGTAAACAACCGGTGGGGCTGGTAGATCCTACCCTTTTCCTTCCCTAGCCCCACCCCACCCCCCAAGGTTGATGATGGCAAGTTGAAGGAAGTCGAGTAGCGGTTGTGTCCCTATAATGAAGTTATATAAGCAACGGGTGTGGCTGGTAGATCCTACCCTTTTCTTCCCTAGCCCCACCCCACCCCCCAAGGTTGTGTGCACAAGTGAGTCAATTTTGTGTGTACAACTGAGTTAAAAGTTTGTGTGTACAACTGAGTTAAAAGTTTGTGTGTACAACTGAGTCAGTTTTGTGTGCGCAAGTGGGTCGCCGACCTTATAGATAATATATAATTATAACATATTATAACATTTTATAACTAAATTATTTCATTGTGTTTTTGTATGATCGAAGGAAGTTTAGAAGTCAAACTTCTGACAATATGGACAGATGGAAAAGCAGAGGTGGGAAGAGTCAGAGAAGAGAAGAGCAGAAGAGAGAAGATGCAGGTGCGCGTAAAGGTAGCAAAGCCGCGAAACACTGTGTTTTTCCAATGATTTGTGGCTCCGGGGGGTCGAAAAGTAGGCTCGCTAAAGCGGCGGGTGCGGAGCCATGTGGCCAGATGAGAGATGAGAAAGTGCACTCCATTGTGGCGCGAAGCACATTTCCAAGTCAAAATGTACACAACACACCAGGGTCGGACCACTTTTGGAAGTTGAGACGTCGAAGAAGTGCACGCCGTTGTGGTGCGAAGAACATTTCCAAGTCAAAATGTGCACCATTCTCAGACCACTTTTGGAAGTTGAGATGTTGAAAAAGTGCACGCCGTTGTGGCGTGAAGCAAATTTCGAAGTCAAAATGTTAAAAGCACCACATGTTCGGACCAGTTTTGGACGTTCAGATGTCGTTTCGCGTGACTGTGTTGCCTGTTTGTGCCGTGTGGTGTCTGTCTTTTCTGACGTCACCGAATGTGCTGCTTGAATATGTCAGTTCTGGATGTTTGCTCGCCATTTTCGTGCTTGTCTTTTCTGACGGTACGAAGTCGCGGACGGTGCTCGTTGCGTGCGCAAACAGAAGGGAAGAAAGGTCGAGTTGTGCACCAAAGGGATCGTGGTAGAGTGATTTCTCACATTATTTAGTTTTAGAAGTTACACCGCAGCTAAAACCGGTTCTGTTCGCACTGTGTGGTTTCTGTGCAACTGTCGAACTATCTATAGGAAAAATGAAGAACCAGATAGATGGATGTGTGAAATGTTTCGGTGCTGAAATGGATTGAATGGACAGCTGGATGGGCAGATAGACAGCTAGATAGATGGATAGACCGAAAGACAAGTGGAAAGACAGACAGACAGACAAGGAGATGGATAGATCTCGAAAGAGAAAAATAGAAAGAAAGATGGATAGACACATAGACGCATAGACAGGCAGTTTGATCGATAGACGGCTGCATAGACAGATAGAGAGCTAAGCATAGATGGAAAGACAGATAGATGGATAGGTAGATAGACAGATAATAGATAAGTAGACAGGCAACTAGAAGGATAGATAGATAGATAGATAGATAGATAGATAGATAGATAGATAGATAGATAGATAGATAGATATATAGATAGATCGATCGATAGATAGACAGACAGATAGATAGATATATGGATATAGAGAAAGAGATAAATAGACAGATAGGCAGATAGACAGACAAATGGATGGATAGATAGAAAGATGGATGGATAGATAGATAGATACCGGAGAGTGTTTTGTAGACTTATTGGATGTCCACTTGTTAACTCGGGCAAATGTCATGTTGTACTTCCGACAATTTTTGCATGCAGATGTGACCTCGTCAAAGCGCCGCCCACAACGCAATGGGATGTCCTCGTGTGAGCGGGCAAGTGGCATGTTGTACTTCGACAACTTCTGCTTGCAGATGTGACCTTATCAACACTGCCGCCCGCGACTCATGAAGCAGCACCACCACACATTGCCTGTGGGCCAAGCCGGGCTGTGCTTGCCAGAAGCCTACAGTCATCAAGGCCGCTGCCGGCCAAATTGATTTCCCTGTGTATTTCCATGCGACGCACGTGCAGCACAAGTGTAACACACGTGCAACACATGTGCAACACGACGTGCAACACGAGCACTTTTTCTGTAAATTTACAGGTAAAGTTGTGTTTCTTGCTGTTGCAGGCCAACCTTCGCTTGCAAATGGAAACAAAGAAGATTTGTAGCGAGCGGGCGAGACAAGGCAATCTTACCTGTAAATTTACAGTAAAAGTGCTCATGTTGATGTTGCACGTCGTTTTGCACGTCGTGCTGCACGTGTGTTGCACGTGTGTTGCACGTGCATTGCATGGGAATTCACAGGCAAGTCAATGATGGCTGGCCAGTGGTGCCCCAGGGCAGGAATTTCACCGCCTTGGCTGCCAAATCTGCCGCGTTTGCTAAACAGACCAAGGCTATTTGTTAAGTTGTCAGCAGAATGTGTGATTGATGCAAGCGCTCGGTAGGTACAGCATTGCCTTAACAGAGAGTTGCAGGATGTTGCAGCGCTGCTTGTTGTATCGCGGGTGGCAAGTTTGCTGAGGGCGCATCTGTGAGCTGGCAGAAGCTATCTGAAATACAACATGCCACTTGCCCGTTCACACGTGGACATCCCATTGCGTTATGGGCGGCGCTTTGATGAGGTCACATCTGCATGCAAAAATTGTCGGAAGTACAACGTGACATTTGCCCGAGTTAACAGGTGGACATCCACAAGTCTAAAAAAACACTCCCCGGAAGTAGTCTGGGTTCTTCAAAAAAAACAGCCAACCAACTTGAAGTCTGGCTTGGAGAGTTAGACAACCCTGGTCCCCCAACTTCAATGTTGTGTGACAGCAGTGCTTGGCAGAGCTTGAAAAAAAAACGACCATTCTTGCTCAGGTCATTGAGAAGCGATGGTTAGCAACATTGAGACGGGGTCCGGGGGCTTCCGGTGGATATCGAAACGTTTTGGTCGATGGCCGTTTTTTTTTGGAAGAACTCAGCAGCTCGACATTCCAACCACCTTTCGGTCCATCAGTGGATTCGCTCTGCCATCCATGATTCACAGCAACTCACCTCTCTTATAGGTTTCGTATTTTTGAAACTTCCGCCACCGCTTTGTGCGGTACTACTGTTATATACCTTGCAAGCAGCTTTCAAGATCTTGAAACCAAACAGAATGTGGTTGCGACTCATGGATTCAGAGGCGTGTTCCATGTGTGGTGGCTGCGGCCTCCATTTATAGATGATTTTCCTAGCTATAAACCTCCATTTCTAGGAGATTTCATGGATTTTCCATTGGCATGGGTATGCGGAAATTCTGTATTTTGGTCAAAACCGGGGTGCCCTGCAACATGTTAGTTGAAAAATGATCAAGGGTATCATGGGCACAATTTTCTTCAGAACCAGTCGCCTTGGTGAAAATATCGTGACGTGGATTGAGTGTTTACCAATATTCCACGAGGGACACCAACAAAATTCCTGGTTAAACCTCTCTTATCCTGGGTCTTTGTTGAAGGTTAATTTTTTCAAGTTTCACATGTGTCCGGACTGTGCAAAAAAATAGTTTCCCAGGGTATGCCGGTGAAGCCTCACGTACCCTTGAAAAAAAAACAAATCTGCATAAATCCGCAAATTTTGTTGACTATCGCAAGAGTTATTGGCAAATTGAGGGTCTAAACCTAAGCCCTGACTATCCATGACAATCCATGACTTTCCACAACAAAGTGGAGGTGCTGCCTGGTTTTTTTTCGACACGCCACTGGACATTTAGGCCGAGCGGCTGCAGGTGAAATGTCGCAGTTTGGGGTTTCTATACCTGCGTTGGTACTTAGAGCCTCCAAGTACCCTAGGCCCTAAGGTAAACTAACAGTTCGATGTGGAAAACCGCCATTGGTAGATCATTTTCCGCACGGGAAACCAGCCGGGTTTTCCACATCGAACTGTTAATTTGCCCTAGGGTACCTACAAAAATGAGGCTATATCATAACATCTTATGTAACATACCCATTATGATTTGAGAATTTTACTTGGTTTTATGGGTACATGGAGGGTCTAGGGTGCTTGGCGGGTCTAGGGAAAACACTGATATGTAATCGTAACAATCAGCTGCTTGGCGCAGTTTCAGTTTTTTTAAGGTTTGAATACTATGGGGTTTCAAATGAAGAGATTTTTCAAGGGATCAACCTCCAACTAGTTGCAGCAGGAAAACTTTTGATCAGAACTTGAGGTTGAACATCCAGAATTGACACAGCTGCGCAGCCGCTTTTCCAAGGGCTCACAGGCAAGTTTTCGCTTACCTTCTCAGTATGTCCAGCTTGGAGTGCCTTGGTTTTATCTTTCAACGAGTGGGGAACAAACTGGGTAAACCGGTAAACCGTAGTTTGGTAGCTTTGCATATTTGTTGCATATACTGTAAATGAATATCATATAAATGCTTGATATTGCGGACAGCTTCTAGGTGGTACGCCCCTTTCACAGTAGTCCACAGACAAGCCTGCCAACGCTCTGACCCACCAGAAGGCAACATTACACTTGTCTCGCAGGCCACCTGTGGCTCGTGCGAGCTACGGTAATCAGATTGAGATGTACAAATTGCTGTACAAAGATGTACAAAGAGGATACAAGAGGATGAACGAAGAGGATGTGCATTTACAAACATTGATGAATGATTAATTAATGTATCAACGCAATACAGATCACTGTATATTCTACAGATTTCTACCGCATTAATTTACAGACAGAGAAAGGTGATGCTGTACAAGTGTCTCTCCCAGGCCGGGTAAGAACAACATATGCGCGAGCCATACGATGCCATACAGTCAAAACATGATTGCGCAGTGATGTCGGGCCACGAGGTGTGAGCCACCTGACCTCGTTGTTATGCGCCCCAAAGATACAGTTCACGAGTTATGAGTTCATTTCATGCGAGTTCATGCCACCATGTATGCGCAAATGCCGCCCCAAACATATCGCAATAAAATCTACATCTCCCATATTGAGGGCCACAGCACATGCAGAGCACCAGCGTCCGCTGTTCGAGCGTGATGGGATGCAAACGTATCACGCAAGGCACTGTGTTATCCATGTTTGGTCGAGTTTGGTCTCTCTGGATGTTGCTAATGGATGCTGGGCCTGTAAGTTGTTGCATGTGCAGGCCTGGGTCCGGGAAAGCTGCGGCAAACATGTACAAAAGACCATAATGCATCGCACAATGCGCACAAGACTGTTGTGAGAGCTCGCTTTGACCAACAAAAATGCACCACACACCTCATTCTCGGAGTACCTGGATTGCTGCGGCTGTAGTTCCGTGCGCTGTTGCCTTTTGTTCCTGTGCCATGCTTGGAGTCGCCCCCCATAATCTTCGCGGTCACTCAAACATGTTTGGCTCGTTGCTGATAGGCTGCTAAACAATCTAGTCTAGACAAAAAAAGGCTAATTATACGGCAAGCTTGCTTTAGGGCCCTAAGTAGAGCAATGCTGTGTTGCCAAGCGCATGAAAATGGCTGCCGAGCAAAACAAGACAAAGAGCTCAGAGAAGAGGTAGCTCAGAGGAGAGCGAGCTTGAAGAAGCATAAGGAAGAGACAGGTGAGGGTGAAGATAGCTCCGGGGGAGGGGACGAGCACTGCTTGTGCACTGGATCTCTCTTTCGCTTGTCTGCACTGGGTTTTGCCCTCGCTTGTGTACTGGATTTGCTTGGTGTTGAGAATTGAAGTATTATAACACCCATATGAATATGGCGTGGCAGGTGCGTGCCTTTAATGTAGGGAAGGAATGACGCGCATGATGCCACTTGCAGTAAGTGGCAGGCGCTGCTCTGTGTGCTTGCTGCCGTGCTTGCACGTGGCAGGTCCAAGTACATCTTGCTACTATTTCCACTTCCCCTCCCCCACCCTAAACCGTAAAAGGGAGCATAAAACGAGTGATAGATGTCAGAAGCCAGAGCTAGAGTGAAGAGCGTGTCCAAGCACGTCCGTATGTCCATTTCCTAAGGCTCAAGAGAGATATAGATATAGAGGTATAGCTTTGTAGACTCGATGCAGCACAGACTGGCAAATTGGCTGATAGACGAAAACAGTGCTTGCAGCCTGGGAAGACACTCTTTATAATATAGCTGATCCTTGCTTGAACGACGCTATTGGCCTTCTTCACCCCACCCACCATAAACCCTAAAAGGTAGTGGTAGTTGTCAGAAGTCAGAACTACAGTGAAGAGCGTGTCCAGGTACGCCCGTATGTCCACTTCCACCTCCCCTCAACCCCGCCACCCTAAACCCTAAAAGGTAGCGATAGTTGCAGAAGTCAGACGTATATAAAGAGAAGATCGTGTCCAAGTACATCTTGCTGCTATGTCCGCTTGCCCCCCCCCACCCTAAACCCTAAAAGATAGTTGTAGCCTGTAGCTGTCAGAAGTCAGAAGTAGAGTGAAGAGCATGTCCAAGTACATCTTGCTACTATGTCCACTTCCTCCTCCCACCCCCCACCCTAAACCCTAAAAGGTAGTGATAGGTGTCAAAAGTCCAAGTTCACCTTGCCACTTCCTCACCTACCCGCACCCTAAGCCCTAAAAGGTAACGATAGGTTGTAAAATTCAGTAGTAGAGAGAAGCGCATTTCCAAGTCCCACTTGGTCCTATGTCTACTCCCCACCCCACCCTAGACCTAGATAGGTGGCTGATTGTTTGCTGTGTCAATGCGCAAGTGAGTGAAAGTGCGCAAGTGAGTGATATTTCCAGTGCATAACTGAGTGCCTGGCCTAGAGTGGAGAGGGAGTAGCTCAAAGAAAAATAGAAGAAAAACCAAAGAACAGGTGGTCGGCGAAGAAAGCGCCTAGAAAAGATGTGGGTGCATGAAGAGATGGCTGGGGAGAGAGCGACAGCTGAGAAAAGAGGAAGCCCAAAAAGATCCAAAAAGTCAGAGATAACCCAAAGAAGAAAAAAGGTGGACAGATGATAGCTGAGATGAGGTAGCTCCCGACCAAGGTGCGGAAAAATGTAGCTTCAAGAAGAGGTATTGAGGCAAGATAAGGGATAGCTTATGGTAGCTCAGAGAAGATATAATATATATATATATATTATATACATATCAATGAAGAGCAAGGTCAAAGCAACATTTGCCTAGTGTTTCAGCGGCAGATTCAGCCATTCAACCATTTCTTCAGCCATATTTTCCGTCATTTATTCAATCCTACAGGCATAGATAGGCATAGTATATTATAGTATATTATATATAGTACTAGTATTGTATATTTTCAAAACCCTTGCAGGCAATATGTTCGGATTGGTTGCTGACATGAGGTTTAGTCTTTACGTACGCATGCAATCAGCAGCGCACAGAGATTGCGATTTCCATCTCGGTTAACTGTTCAGTCGAATCGACGTTTTCAAATTTCATCCATCCCAGATATTCCCCCATCTTCTCCGCGGACGATTTTCCCAAGATTTCTCCATGGCTTCAGATGGGGATCGGTCCACATCCTCAGGTGTCGTAAGACTTTCCTGGAGGTGGTTCCCAGCAGCTGCTGGTTCCCCACGGTGCGGCGTTCGAAAAGCTGCACGGCGCTGGGTGACTGCCTGGTGGATGCTGGGATGGTGGAAAGGAAAGGCTTATTTTGGCTGGAAAGGTTGGGGAGAGTTGTGGAAACCCATGGCTGTTCCCTTGGACAGGATCTACATTCGGTCTGGGGATTTAACCGACAACTCTGGTGGTTTTTGGTGGGATATACTGAAGGTATAATGGGGGTATAATGGAGATACCATGTTGGAATATTGGTGAGTAGGGGGAATCATCCCATGATACCTTCTTTCAGGCTGGTGAATTTATATTTTCTAGCCAGTGGTTGTTCCATTCATGTGTTTCAAATGGGATGTGCCATGTAAATTCGCACAGCATTTTTTGGAAATGAATGAGGATGTACAAAATTATTCAACCAACTGTTTTTGCAGGATATCTAAGATGATTAGCTGTGAGCATGGACAAGCATGTTGGGAAGTGATGGAAAGGATGGATGGACAGAGATCTAAAACTCAGAGAGCTATATATATATATATATATATAGTGGATGTTTGGGAAATTCATCAGCCGAATTGTAGATGATCAATCATCAGAATTCCCTATCATCATGATTCATCAAAAAATAAGGAATTAGCTATAATATGCTATAATTAATCATAATTCCTAGATCCACCAAAAGGACGTGATTATAATTAATCACATTATATCACGATTATATAATTATATCATTGAACTATATGTTGTAATTAGCTGGCTCAACTTGACCCCAAAGGCTCGCAGGGTAAACGTAAACATGAGGATTGACCCGCGATGGCGGGTCCTGCTATACTCTCTGGTGGAAAACCAACCGTGGCTAGCTGGGACCCCCCGAACTAAATGGTCTTGATATGGGAGACTCCCATATATGTTATACATATATATATAATGTATATATATATATATAGAGGATTTTGAACCAGCCATGTTTGATGGCGCAAAATAGGGTAAAATCATGGTTGGCTATGGTTCAAAATGCTGAAACTGATTGACCAAACAGTTTGTTTGATTTCAGATGCAGAAAAGGGGAACTGCCCTTTGTGGGTTTATTCCAACAGAGACAAGCAGATCGACATGGGTCAACGTTCAAGACTTGACAGCCAAAGTAAGTATACTATGCTATCAAAACAGAACCCCAGAATTAAGACCCAGAGATTAGATCCATCATTTACCAGATCACCATCTAAGTCCAATTTAAAACTAGATAGGTATCTAACAATAAATTCCATAACTATGGTTAAATGTACAATTCTAATCCGTTCCCATCCCCCTTGGCATTTTTTCACCTGCCGAGGAGACCGTGGCAGACACAAGGGCAGATGACCTCTTACGGCGACTGGCCTGTTCCTTTGCGTGGGAATCCGCGCCTTGGCAGATGATAAAAACTGGTTCATAGTCCTTCTTGCTGTTGCTTTGGGGCTGAGATCCAGCGGAGTTGCCAATTTTGTTGCCACAAACAATATTACACTTTTTTGGAGCTCAGAAGAAGTGAGAAGAGGTGAGAAGAGTTGAGAAGAGGTGGGATGTGAGAAGTTGGGATGTGTGCACTGTTCTTTGCTGCATGTCGCTGTGCTGTTAGTGAATACTTGAAAAGAGTAGGCAAAATATGTATATATATATATATATTATTCCTGCAGGATCCAAATCCGAGAAATTTCGAGGTGTTTCCACTTTTCAAGGGGCTTGTTTGGATCTAGGAATTTCATTACATTTTCCAACAAGTGGACGGGTTTTGGGATGTTTTGCATTTGAAAGCAAAATTGTTGCAGAAAGTAGGAATTGGACACGGAACATTCCACTTTCAGTGATGTCGCTGTACGATTTTTCGGGATTTGCGTTTTTTTTTCGGGTTTTTTCCGCTTTTTTGTGTCGTTTTTGTAGTTGGTAGTTTTTGGCCTGCGATATTTTCGTTTTGTCGCGCATTAAAAACGCAATGTCAAGAGCTACACCCTCAAAAGCGCCTGCCACAGACTGCCAAATCCGCGGAGGTCACAGCGAATTTCTAGCAGTTTTGGTGGAAGGAGTTTGGTCAATTTTCTCCTCGTTTCGCAAACTCCTAAGATCACGAAGAAAATTTCCAGGATTTGGAAGTTCCATGCTGGCATGTTTTCACATGTTTATACGCTTGTGCTGGTTGCGAGACTTCATGTTTACATAGAGTTGAGAAGAATTAAGAAGACGTGACAAGAGCTGAGAAGAGGTGAACAGAGATGAAAGAGTTGAGAAGAGTTGGGAAGAGTTGAGAAGAGTTGCAAAGAGCTGAGAAATGTGCACCACACTTGAAAATGGCATCGGAGAGGTGAGGACGAATTTAGAAAAAGCATGGGAAGATGTGAGGCTCCATCAGGCCATTCCTAGTTGCTGGTAACTTCCGCCACCAGCCTTGTGCGGGCTTTATTTAATGTGTCAAGGTGTTTCAAGGTGTGTATATAGAATGGGCTAGCGCCCAGGTGCCGCCGACCCCACTATTGTGGGGTCCTGTAGAGAGAGGGAGAGAGAGAGAGAGAGAGAGAGAGGGAGAAAGGTAGATAGATAGACAGATCGATGTGGGGTGCCTGTTGGCTGCAGGATGAAGCATGCCAAGGGAATGTTTAAGCGGCCCATAAGAAGCCATTGATGTGTGGCCTTGGGGTGGCTGTTGGCTGCAGGATGAAGCATGCCAAGTAAGCGTTTTAAGGGTTTTAAGGTTTTTAAGGGTTTGGAGCGTTTTAAGGGTTTAAGGGCTGGCAAACGGCAGGCTTGGACGCCCATAAGAAGCTATTGATGTGTAGCCTTGGGGTGCCTGTTGGCTGCAGGATGAAGCATGCCAAGGGAATGTTTAAGCGATGGCGTTTAAGGGCTGGCAAACGGCAGGCTTGCACGCCCATTGATTTGAACTTCTACTACGGGAACGCGGGAACGGCTGCTTTGGCCTTGAAAGACAAAACCTTCAGACAAAACCTTACGGAAGAAAACGTACTTGCCCAAAGCATGTAATTTTCATGTCCAAATGCCTGGAAGTCTTAACTGGAGGACGAAGCATGCCAGGAAAATGTTTACGCGATGTGGCCTTGGGGCAGCTTGCTGGCTGCCAGATGGGTTTGACCTTGGAAAGCGAAGAAGGAGAAGTTCCACACCTGCGGTGGTCCCAGGCGCCGCCCCTGCCTTGGCCAAGGCCGGGGTCGGCGGATAATGATATACACCTGCGTCTTTGCAAGTGGTACTTTTTTCTGCTTTTTCCCGAAAACCATGTTTTGAATGAACATCAGCGGTGTTTTTTTGCGTTTCGAGGGCTTTTTGTTATTTGCCCGTAGCTGCCACAACCCATGTCTCCTGCAACGGCGCTTTTTTCCGGGAACGATTGCAGTTTCAAATTTCTGCATCTTGGAGCAACGACGAACAAGAGTACATCGTGGAAGATGCAGATAATTATTCAATGTCTACATACATATTAATTTATACATATTATATATATATGACCATTTGCCAAAAATAGTCGACACAAGTCTTGTACTAGTTTTCTGATAATTAGTATGGACCTAGTTGTTTTTCCTCTTCGTTATGAGGCGGTACGCAACTAAATTCACCAATTCTGCAAGGCAGCGCTAGCAAACCCGCTAGGTTTGCGCTAGTTTTTTTCACACCCATGTTCAAAGATATTTTTTTGCGTTCCTGTCTGCTTGTCATTTCAACATGAAGAAAAGTCAAGATGTAACACTTAGCTCCTTAAACCTAAGGATGTCTTAGTGAATTTCTGTGCTACTCAACAATTTTCCTATATTTTTGAGGTTGCGGCTCAACTTTGCGAATTTGTACGTAATTTTACCCGCTAGATCCCCGCTAGCAATGCGCAAGCAAAAGTTTCAGAAAACGGCTTTGGTTGACCCGTGACCCAGTCGCCACCAGAGAACTTGTAGTTTATCCTGTCTGTTTGACAAAGCAACAGCGACAGCAAAGGCAACGACCAGCTCTGCAGATATTTCAGTTCCACCACTAACAACTAGCAGCGGCACCCACTTCATATAGACGCGCTTTACTGCAGGTTTTTGCTATGGCTTCAAACATGAAGGATAAAATGCAGGGTTTTAGACTTAGGTCAGTCATGGTTTTAAAGGCACAATAAGAAGCGGCACGCAAGGAATTACGATTTATCAACAAAACCAGGAAAAGACATTTTGGCAAACCGTCATATACATAATAATATATATATATATATATATACACGGTAACCACATTTAAATATATGTGGAGGGCGGGCCAGACCGCGAGGCCCCGGAGGTAGTATGAAATACCAGTTCATATATTTAAATGTAGTTACCGGATGCTCAAATGAATTGGATTCCGTATGTTTAAATGGCCGGGCAGGCCAAGGAAAACCTTCCCGGAGGTAGTCTAAAATATCAGTTCGTATATTTAAAAGTCCGTATATTTAAATGTAGTTACCGTATATATATATAAATATATATATGCTGCTATATATAAATATATGTATGTATAAATATACGTATGTAAATATATATATATAGATATATATATATATATGTATATATTTATAGATTCCGGATCAAACGCTCGCCTCTGTGTGAATATTATGAAGTGCATCCACCCCCCTACGTTTTTGTGCGTGTGCGTCTGTACATGTTTATGTATCATATATATACATATCCATATTATATGTATATACATTATATTTATACATATATATATATACACATACCCATATGTTTACATATATATATATACACGTGTATACCAGTAGTACCGCACAAGGCGGTGGCGGAAGTTTCAAAAACAAGAAACCTATAGGAGAGGTTTGTTGTTGTGAATCACGGATGGCAGAGCGAATCCACTGATGGACCGACAGGTGGTTGGAGCTGTGTTTTTTGGAGTGGTTGCAATGGTTGCAGTGGTCACCTCACCACAACTGCTGGATGTAGTGTGGCGTAGTGCAGTTGTAGTTGTAGTTGTAGTTGTAGTGTGGTGTAGTGGAGTTGCAGTAGTTGTAAGTTGTAGTTCTAATGTGATGCAATTAGTGTAGTGTAGTTGCAGTTGAAGTTTGCAGCTGTGTTGTGGTGTGGTGTAATTAGTGTAGCAAACTGTAGTGTAGTGTACTGTAGTGTTGTGTACTTTAGTGTGGTATAGTGTAGTGTAGCCTAGTGTAGTGTAGTGTAAACTAGTGTAGTTGTAGTTGTAGTGTATTGTCATTAGTGTAGCGTAGCGTAGTGCAATGTAGTGGTAGTTGTAATTGTAGTTGCAGTTGTAGATGTAGTGTAATGTAACGTAATTATTGTAGTGTAGTGCTGTGTAATGTAGTGTAGTAGCTGTAGTTGCATGCAAATTTTTGTAGTGGCAGTGTGCTGCAGTGTAATTAGTGTAATGTAGTGCAAATGTAGTGTAGTTGTAATTGTAGTTGTAGATTTAGTGGCAGCAGTAGTCGTAGTAGTAGTAGTAGTAGCAGTAGTAGTAGTTGTTGTTGTTGTAGTTGTTGTTGTAGTTGTCTGTCTATCTATCTACCTTACCTATCTACCTATCTACCTACCTACCTATCTAAATCTAATCTAATCTAACCTAATCTAATCTAATCGAATCCAATCTAATCTAATCTAATCTATCTACCTATCTATCTATCTACCTATCTATCTATCTATCTATCTATCCTAACCTAATCTAATCTAATCTAATATAATCTAATCTAATCTAATCTAACCCTATCTACCTATCTATCTTATCTTATCTTATCTTACCTTATCCTATCCTATCTATCTATCTATCTACCTATCTATCTATCTAGCTACCTATCTATCTATCTATCTATCTATCTAATCTATCTAATCTATCTAATCTATCTAATCTATCTAATCTATCTAATCTATCTAATCTATCTAATCTATCTAATCTATCCAACCTATCCAATCTATCCAATCTATCCAATCTATCCAATCTATCCAATCTATCCAATCTATCCAATCTATCCAATCTATCCAATCTATCTAATCTATCTAATCTATCTAATCTATCTAATCTATCTAATCTATCTAATCTATCTAATCTATCTAATCTACCTAATCTACCTAATCTACCTAATCTATCTAATCTATCTAATCTACCTAATCTACCTAATCTATCTAATCTATCTAATCTATCTAATCTATCTAATCTATCTAATCTATCTAATCTATCTAATCTATCTAATCTATCTAATCTATCTAATCTATCTAATCTATCTAATCTATCTAATCTATCTAATCTATCTAATCTATCTAATCTATCTAAACTATCTAAACTATCTAATCTATCTAATCTATCTAATCTATCTAATCTATCTAATCTATCTAATCTATCTAATCTATCTAATCTATCAATCTATCTAATCTATCTAATCTA